TCTAGTTCAGTATTCCCATGGTTCCATATTATGAAGGTGTCGTCAACATATCTCAACCAGACTCGAGGTTTCTTGTGGGCTTCTTCAATGGCCAGAGTTTCAAACCACTCCATATATATGTTGGCTATGACTGGTGAAAGTGGCGATCCCATTGGCAGTCCCTCATCTTGTGTAAAGAATTCGTCCTTCAGTTGGAAATAACAGTTTCGTACACAGCATCCTAGTAATTCCATAATTACTTCTATAGGTACATTCTTTCTCTCTTTACCGTCTTCGGATAGCTTTCTCTGTATGATTTGAAGTGCTTCTCCGACCGGAACGTTGGTGTCAATCACCTTCAAACAAATAGAAGACCATTTACAAGTGGGTACAATAACCCTATTCCCACCCAGTAGTGCTTGTGATGATATCACCGATGAAGATTCTGGAGAGGAAGACAACATAAATAATTTGCCAGCTTCATAAATGCGAAGTGAATGTGAGGTGTCATCCACACATCACTATGATCGTGACTTTGATTCAGATGATGAAACCACATAGAGGCTGACGCAAAGTTTTTGGAGCTGAAAAGAGTTAAACAAAGTATGTATAGAGTACAAAATTCTCTATCGATCAGTATATACCGCAACGCAGTAGAATGAATATTTATTGAGATATGGAGTTACAAATATACATGTCATTAAAACGGATAAAACTTTTTTAACCATCTGATACTTATATTCAGTCACAGATGTAAACTTCAATTTGAAATTCTCTTATACAAAAGGAATCTCATTGTTGATGATTTTAGGGGGTCTGGTGCATTCCTCAGTTTCAGTAAATCATCGTTGATTTCGAGAGCATTGAAACCCATCCTCGTAGATTCAGTTTTGTTTTCTAAACTAGGTCACTATTAATAGAGCCTAAAACCTGAATTGATGACTTGTTTCAATTAGTAAACAGAAATAGTATTGCCGCATTCACAATATTGTTTTAACGGAATTCAATTCACTACCAATTTATTTTCCAATCAACTGTATCGTTCACAAAGCAACCTATATGGTTATTTTTAGCAGCGTGGTTCGATAAAAATCTGTAAAGACTTGAGAGTTTCATTTTTGGGCAATATTTGTTTTTCTACCAGAAAATCGGATACCATGTGGATAGAATTTTTGCTAGAAAAACAGTTCTAGTAATCTATTCCAAATGAATTCAAAATTTTATTTTTCTTTCAAATAATAACACAGTAACTTTTTTGGGTTTCCGCTCGATTTTTCTATATCGATCCTCTTCCTTCTATAAAAAGTTAGTTCAAAGTTGTTTCGTAGAATCAAAGTTTCTACATTTATTTCAATTTTGATTTGAGTTTTAAATTCAAATTAACAAATAATCAGTAGTCATTCATTTATAGTAATTGAATATTGATTGTAACCTATAATTACTATGGAATCATAAATGAAATGGCCTGAAATTTCAATTATCTCGCATATTTATATGAATAATTTCCTGTTACATACTACGATTCTAAGGTGATCAGAAGACCAAAGTAGTGAAACCTGTTCTATCTTCTCATGAATACACTGACTAGTTACTTGATGAAAAATAATAACACTATCCGTGAAATAATTATAGAATTTCCACATTAGGTTTCATTCAAGACGCGTTTTGATACGCGGTACCTTCATCAGTTAGACTGATTACTAATCACTGAAAGTTTCAATTTTCTACCAGAGATGTACAAAAATACATTCACTCCATCGATTCTCCTCAAAACCCGGTAAAACAGACCCAGCAAATATTTGAATGTATGATAATGTGTGTGTGTGTATGTATACATACATACTCTTGATTTTCTGTATCAATTTATACAGTCTCTGAAAAATATGCAGTCAAGCTGCTGGAAAATAATTCCATGAAAGTCAATAAATGAATAGGTAGATGAGTACTATTCTGTTACTCCCATATTGATTTCAATTTCAGAGCCACCGGTAGACAGCTGTTTCAGCCTATTGGGCATCGTCAGAACCGGNCATTGTTGGATCAAGATCTTCAGATGATGTGGTGCTGCAGGTTTTTCCGGGTTTTCCTGCAGCTGAAAAAGCAAATGCGCCACTGGAATCAATGAAGTCGCCCCGGAGTGCCAATTAATTTTTATTGTTGTATTTATTTTATTTTTAATGTCATAAATCAAAACACTTCAATACCATTACATGAATAACTATTTTATGTGCAATTTTGCATTCATAAAAAAGTAGCATAAAATATGCTTATATTGTGTCTATTCTCTTAATTTCAATGGATCCTTAGGTCTATAGAAAACAAAACAACAAGTTTTCATATTATAAGTTATTAATATACTGGAGAGAGAAGATAAATGCAGTGGACCAAAGAAAGGAGTGGGAGCGGGTATTTCATGAATGAATACTCCTTAGAATTTTCGTATAATATGAAAAATTTGTGTCAATTTTGTACTAGGGGATTCAAATTATATTGTCAAACAATGTTGCATTTTCAGCGAGGTATAATTTTAATTTTTACTTGAATTTGGAAAGCGTTATAAATATCATATTGTCGCTTCAGCATCAAATTATAATAAATTCTTCAGTCTACAAGGACAGCATCAACATTGACAAAATAGATAAGCTCTTACATAAACGTTACACTGTTGGAAAAAGCTTCGATTAACCAAAGTCTGAAGCCCCTAGAGTTTTATTACCACTCACATTTGCCCATTTGGCTCAGTCGGGCGAGACTCTGAATGTCAGTGTCGTGGATTCGAGGCCCACGTTGGACGCCAAATGTAGCACATATTCAATCTTCAACAAAAAATATTTCCATATTTGATAGGGTTGGGTTATAGTTCACATATTGTCGGTTAATCATTTGAATATAATAAATTATTCAGTCCACAGGATCAGCATCAACACGGACAAAATAGTTAAGCTCTAATTTGAACGCTACTCTGTTGAAAAAGGTTTTCATTCATCAGACAGAAGCCCATAGAGTTATAATACCACTCACCGTTGCCCGGCGACCTCAGTCGGTAGAGCATGAGACTCTTATCTGAAATCGAGCCCCACGTTGGGCGCCAAATGTAACACTTCTCCACTCTTCAACAAGTGAAAAATTATTATTCAACTGTCACTCAAGCATCATAATATAATAAATTCCTCAGTCCACATGAGGCATCAACAATGACAAAATAGATAAGATCTAAATAGATAAGCTACACTGAAGTAAAAGGATTCGATTCATTAAAATCTGAGGCCTCCAAAGTTTTATTGGTGTTCACATGTATTACGCGAGAGAATTCTCACTCAACTAGACAGGGGAGGCGTTCTACAGTTTAAAACAATTCATTTTTTTGATGTTGCTTCCATCGTATTTGACTGAAATCAGCTTCTCAACTCTCAGAAATGTCAAAAATGTTCACATTCGATTTACTTTTCAGTGAAATATTAAACACATACTCGTATTTCACATACCTTATTATTAGGAAGATATGATGAATGTCTATTGCCTCTGTCAGCTGAAGAACAGGTACGTGTGCGTATTCTCGTCGCCTTGGAATCAAAAGATGTGACGGAAGATCCATTCAGAAGGAGTTCTGAGACAGTTATTGCTATACTCTCAGAGCGAGGTTGGGGTTTTAAGCCAGTTATTGATATTTTCTCCCAAGTTTCTAATGCTGAAATAATAATATATCAGTCATACAAAAATGTTCCAACTACCGTATTATTCAATACCACTGCAGTTTTTTTCCAACATCAAACCGTTATTTCAACATCTCGACACGTGTTTCAATCACCAAGTGATCATCTTCTAGAGGAAGGTCGAAACACGTGTCGAAGTGTCAAAATAATGGTTTGGTATTAAGAAAAAAACTCCAGTAATACTCATTACTACACCAAAGGTTCCAAATAGTGCATCACCGTATTATTCATTAGGTTATTTCAAAATTTTGGTCCGTTTGTATGACTCTAGTTCAAACTGCAATATCTCAATGATTACTCATTTAATTCAAAAGAAATTAGCCCCATTCGAATCAATGCATTTTCGTCAACGCGTAACACAAGTCGACTCTCAATTCGTTTAGTTGTAGGAGGGAGATTTATGAAACGTGCGGACGGGCGTTGTCATTGAGCAGGATCGGACCTCTTCTATTGATCAGTCCCAGCTATCACTATCGAAAATTTCGGTGGATGATTTGGTCCGGTTCAGAAAGTTATAATAAATTACATCAGCCGCTGACCACCATTATAGTATGATCAATTTTTGATGGGTTTTCGCCTTTGGGAAGTCTCTGCGTGGCTATCCTGAACGTCTCCTGTAGACATTTCACTTTTCATCACACGTAACGATCCGATCGAAAAAAGAAGCGTTTTGGTTCAAAAGCAAAGAAGAACAGACTTCGCAATGTGACAATTTCTGTCAATCGTTGAAATCGTGGGGCAACCACTTCTCGAGCTTATCGACCTTTCCAATACATTTAATACCATCAAAAACCGCGTTGGAGCTGACGCCCAGTTCTTCCGCCATCCCACGCACCGTTTGTGATGGGACGGCACCGCTTCAGTTCAATTTGAATTCGTGAAGAGAAATTGGTTGAAAAAATTAAAAGCAACAATATATAGAGTACAAAATTCTCCATCGTTCAGTATATACCGCGACACAGTAGAATGAATATTTATTGAGATATGGTGCTACAAAACACATGACATTAAAATGGACAAAACTTTTGAAACAACCAACATGACATTTTGTAACTTTCCGTTGATTTGTTACAGATATACGGTATCTCACATATCATGAAAGTATCACTGACAAATACATTTCTGGGGTGACGTGATAAACTTTAAAATAAAGCGGAGTATGATCACGTGATTAAAATATATTGCCATCTAATTCTTGGTGTTCAGAAACCGTTTAGTACATCAACAACAAATGTAAAATGTTAATTATTAGTTTCATATAATTGAGGTTTACGATTATATACGAAAATATTTTTGTTCAATGCTATGGATCATACGGGATCTGTTCAAAAAATGAGGTGAATGTTCAAATTTCGCGAGCTACGTACATTTAATTAGGGATTAGTTTCAACTGTTTAGCACGTTCATTTTGTTGGTGAGAGAGATAAAAGTTAGAAGAGTTTGGCATGCGAATTTCTGCTATCGAGAAAAATTGATGCAAAAATGTGTGTAAAAAATTAAATAAGTGCTCAAAAACACTTTAAATATTGACAGTAACATACGGTGATGGTTCTATAAGTCATAAAAATGTTTACAAGTGGTACAAGTTTTCCACAGAAGTGTAATACCTAGCGAAAGCTATGTATGGTAATATACAGATTCATTAAACTACGTACCATATGGGAAATTTTTTTTTCGAAAAGTTTCAATGAAGTTTAACTTCGGCGCTTGTTTGTGCTTTGAATTTAACTCAAAATGATGCGGCCAACTGCGACCCACTGACGTTCAGTGTTTCTCAAATTCAACTTTTTTTTTTAAATTGATCGAATTTAACAAAAAGTTACTTGAAAAAGTTGTGTCTACGGCAATTTTATATCCATATGCCAAATACTCGATCCAAACTGAGCCTTCAGAACAAAATTACGATCTACAAAATGATGTTCAAGCCTGTCATCATGTATGCTTCAGGCTTCTGGAGACAAGCGGCTCCGTCTAATATCTCTGGGGAGATTGCAAAATAAGTTGATACGGATGATTGTGAATGCTCTGTGGTTCGTACGCAACGAAGTCATCTGCAGAGATTTGCAGCTGCCCTGCATTCATCAGCAGTCCATTCAGTCGAGGAATCGGCAAGTCTTTGATTGCGCAGAAACTCACGATAATCTTTTAGTCAGGGAAGCTATAGATTATGCTGTAGACGACCCCTCCCGATATGAAAGGCCTAGACACTCTGTCGAATGAGACCCTCATGTCCCCAGTTAAAAGATGAACAATATTTTCATCCAAACACCCCAGCCAGGTAGGAGTACACCGTGAAGGGCAGTACTGATGTCTGAGGACATTCATGCCGCCACCCATGATCAGTTATGGCCCCCGCTCGTCCTTCTGACGAGCATCAGTCCTGAGGGAAAAAAAGCCAGGCTCCAACCTGTTCAAAATTAAGATGTCATTGGTCAATGTGAATAATTTCTGTATTTGTCTACATAGGTATTTAAATCATTTTCAATTCAAAAACACCAAGTTATTCAATGAACACTCACCAAACCTGAACTTCCACAAATCATTGCAAGTTTGACCACTCCGCTCACCCCCAAATACCAGCATGCAAGAAGATGGCAACTTGCAAGCCGCGTGACTATGTAGTGGTCCAGGATTGATTTTGCTCTTGACACAATGCCAAGTTCTCGATGAAATGTCCCATTTCCAGAGATCCGACCTCTCTTGAAGGTCAGTCATGCCGCCGTATATCCACATCGATTCTTCTTGGAGGACAGCCGAATGTTTGTGGCGAGGTGGAGGAGATTGGTCTGATCCTTTGCTTGGTGAGGTCGATACTAAGTGCCATGATCCTGTGTCTGTTGAAATAATTAAAATAATAAAATAAAGCCTTCACAAGTACCTAATCACTACAATTTTTCTAAACCGAAAGATATATCAATAACGGGTCGAACTTTCACAGAAAAGTCGATAAGTTTTTTAAAAAACAGTAATCTGTAAAAAGCAACTGAAGCTGTCCTACGCGTAGTATACCTCAAACTTGTTAGTGGTTGTCTGAACTTGAATTAAAAAATGCAGTATTGGTATTCATTCATCAGTATATTAGTATACGTTTGCCTTCCGTGCTTCACGAAAATAAGAATTTGTGAAATTTTTTAAATGGTTGAGTACGTTGTTACTTTCACAAGGTAAGTTAGTAATTTCGTTTACGTTTTTATTTTTTCGGGAGGAATATCTACTATTTAGCAATTATTTAATGTTGATGAAAGTGAACATGTGTGTCCTATTTGTAGAACAATGAGCGCAAACTATAACGTTTTTTTAGGGGATTTCTCTACATGACGCTTTGACAATGATAGATGATGATTTACAAGCAGGTACAATAATATTGTCAAACAACGCATTAAGCCAGGCTAGCGTAGAGATACGCAATATTTAGAAACCTCTAATCAAGCGAAACACGACCAACTCCCGCCAAACGGTCAGCTTCCGCTAAAACCGATGAAGCGGAAAGAGGGAAAAGGGGATACGTGAAAGCGCCCGAATGACCTATAAATAGTCAGATCTCGGAGAAATAAGTCCAGTTATCACCCGAAGACGACTGTGGATACTAACAATCGAAACGTCGTGAAGTAACTTGGTTTGGAATCTTTTAATTTTTAATTTTCATTTCTTGTTAATATTTTTTTATAATTTTCATCTCGTGTTAATAGTTTAATTTTTTGATTGTTGTATTTTATTTCATTGTAATTTCAGTTTTTTTGCTTAATATAATTGTTATTTTTTCTTTTTTAATTTTTTACAGATTCTTTTCGGTATTTCAAATCAATTTATATCATATTAGACAATGGAAGTCCGAACTAATGAAATGCACCAAAAAACTACATTCAAACGAACGTACAATAACCCTGTTTTCGCCCAGTAATGATTGTGGTGATATCACCGATGATGATTGTGGAAACGAAGACAACATCGACATAAATAATTTGCCTGCTTCACAAATGCAAAGTGAATGTGGGGTGTCACTATGATCATGACTGGAATTCAGATGATGAAATATCATTGTCAGAAATGAAAATCAAGCAGAAAAAAAAACATCAAAGGGGGTTTTCCTTCTTGTTGGAAGATTGCTAGCTTTCAGCCGATTTCTAAAAAGGACAAGAAAACTCTTTCAGTCGCTTTGCTATGAGCGATATTAAAAATCGTGGAGAAAGCCGTAAACCCCTATATCCACAAATATTTGGAAGGCTTCAACATCTTGGGCGACCATCAATATAGCTTTCGGAAACAAAGATCAACAGGCGACCTTCTATCTTGTGTCGCCCATATTGGGAATAACGCAATGCAGAAATATGGAGAGTCAAGAGCTGTTGCACTTGACATTTCTAGGGTTTCCTAGCCAAACTTTGATGCTATGGCTTTTCGGATCATTTTTGTGTATGGCTCTTCAACTTCCTGAAATAACGTTCCCTGCAAGTGACCGTCGATGGATATCTCTCGAATACTCTCAACATCGGGTGTTTCCCAGGGATTCATATTGTCTGCAACAACAATGTTTATCAACGACTTATTAGAAAAAAACAAGAATTCAATATATTGCTTTGCTGACGACAGCACACTTGTCTCGTCATTACATTTGGATTTCAAGACATCGACTGCGGATGCAGTCCGGAGGTTGCATATCTTAATGAAGATCTGAAAGTAATTTCGAATTGGGGTGGAAGTAACCAGGTTCAATTCAATGCCACAAAAACCGAGGCATCGGTTTTCTCCAAATAGATGAATGTTTTCGAACGAACCACCACCAATATGTCCTGGCACAATCATGTCGTCGGAATTGCAAAGGCTGCTTCTCGAAAGCTTGGAACACTGTTCTGAACCAGAAAACTATACAGACCTCAGCAACTTTTGATGCTTTATAAGACTCAGATCAGACCTTCTTTGGAGTATCGTTCTCATGTATGGAGCTCTGCCCCCAAACATACCCTGAAGCAACTGTATTTCATCCAGAAAAAAACATCCTACTGATTGGAAACGCGAACATCGCTTGCAACCTTGATAGTCTGGAACATGGAGGAAAAGTTGCGCAAAAGCATAGAAGCATCTACTTCAAAACATGACAATTTTTGTCGGTTGTTCAAATCGTGGGGCATCCACTTTTTACCCTTCTGATCTTTCCAATACGTTTCAAACTACAAAAAAAACGCATAGAGGCTGACGCCCAGTTTTTCGGCCATCCCAGGCACGGTTTGTGACGGGTAAGTCTCCACCAAGGTCCCTAAATCCTCGTCCTGGATCACCTTTGGTCGACCACTTTCATTACCAAATGCCTGGTTGATTTTTCGGGCTGTTTCGGCATCGCTTTGGTTCAATTTGAATCAGTAAAGGAAAATTGGCAAAAAATCGTTTAACGAAATCATATTGCAATAAACTGAAAAGAGTATTTAAAAAATTAACGGTATCAGTGTATAGAGTACGAAATTCGCTATTGATCAGTATATACCGCGACAAAGTAGAATGAATATTTATTGAGATATGGGGTTACAAACATACGTGTCATTGAAACGGACAAAACTTTTTAAGCCACCTGATACTTATATTCAGCTACAGATGTTAACTTCAATTTCGTTAAAAATTTGAAATTCTCTTATACAAAGGAAACCATCTCATTGTTGAGGATTTTAGGGGGGTCTAGTGCATTTTTCAATTTCAGTAAATCATCATTGATTTCGAGAGCATTGAAACCCATCCTCGTAGATTCAGTTTTGTTTCCCAAACTGGGTCACTATTACCCTGAATTGTTTCAATGACTTGTTTCAATTAGTGAACAGAAATAGTATTGCCGCATTCACAATATTGTTTTAACGGAATTCAATTCACTACCAATTTATTTTCCAATCAACTGTATCGTTCACAAAGCAACCTATATGGTTATTTTTAGCAGCGTGGTTCGATATTAATCTGTAAAGACTTGGGAGTTTCATTTTTGCGCAATATTTGTTTTTCTACCAGAAAATCTGATACTACGTGGATAGAATTTTTGCTAGAAAAACAGTTCTAGTGAAATATTCCAGATGAATTCAAAACTTTATTTTTCTTTTAAACAGTAACTTTTTTGGGATTCCGCTCGATTTTTCTATATCGATCTTCTTCATTCTATAAAAAATTAGTTCAAAGTTGTTTCATAGAATCAAATTTTCTACATTTATTTCAATTTTGATTTGAGTTTTAAATTCAAATTAATAAATAATCAGTAGTCATTCATTTATAGTAATTGAATATTGATTGTAACCTATAATTACTATGGAATCATAAATGAAATGGCCTGAAATTTCAATTATCTCGCATATTTATATGAATAATTTCCAGTTACATACTACGATTCTAAGGTGGTCAGTAGACCAAAGTAGTGAAATTTGTTCTATCTTCTCATGAATACACTGACTAGTTACTTGATGAAAAATAATAACACTATCCGTGAAATAATTATAGAATTTCCACATTAGGTTTCATTCAAGACGCGTTTTGATACGCGGTACCTTCATCAGTTAGACTGATTACTAATCACTGAAAGTTTCAATTTTCTACCAGAGATGTACAAAAATACATTCACTCCATCGATTCTCCTCAAAACCCGGTAAAACAGACCCAGCAAATATTTGAATGTATGATAATGTGTGTGTGTGTATGTATACATACATACTCTTGATTTTCTGTATCAATTTATACAGTCTCTGAAAAATATGCAGTCAAGCTGCTGGAAAATAATTCCATGAAAGTCAATAAATGAATAGGTAGATGAGTACTATTCTGTTACTCCCATATTGATTTCAATTTCAGAGCCACCGGTAGACAGCTGTTTCAGCCTATTGGGCATCGTCAGAACCGGGCAGGCGGTCCTCGATTGAAGACAAAATGTGAGTAACCAAGAAAAGTACTTGATGAAAATAACTACGTGAAAGCAAGCGAGACATTAGTGGAACAACCTATGGGTGTAACATCCTAGTCAACTTTCCATGTTTTTATGTCAGTGTTGGTGGTTTGACCAGTTATTTTTATCAAGTACTTTTCTTGGTTACTCAAATTGTGTCTTCAATCGAGGACCGCCTGCCCGGTACTGACGAGTTGGTTTGTGCTGAGACCTCAGATACCTCAACGCAAACTCCCACCATCATCCAGCACAAATCAACTCCGTCTTGAATTCTCTCATCCATAGATATATCAATCTCACAGACCACCACAATAAACCACAAGAGCTAGCCCAACGCAAATCAGCTCTCCTTCAAAATGGATTCACAGACCATCAAATTGACAGCTCCATCAATCGTCAACAAACTTCTTCGTCCAGTCCCAAAGATCCAAAAGACAATAACATTCCTCATAAAGCTTTCCGTCCCTACATTGAAGGTGTAACTGACAAAATTGGCCGAATTCTCAGAAGACAGGACGTAAAGACGATATACACCGCCAACAATCAAATTTCCACATTTGTCCGTTCACTCAAGGACAAAATTGTCAATGAACCCCAGGGTAACTATGAAATTCCATGCTCCGATTGCTATAGATTATATGTAGGCCAGACCAACAGACGTGTGACAAGTAGAGTATAAGAACATCAACTTGCTGTCCGAAAGTCAGGCCCATCCTCAGCCCTGTGCAAACATCATCAAGAGACAGGACACAACATAGACTTTGTGAGCACTAAGACCATCTCCACAGCGAAAACACTACAAGCTCGGATAATTCGCGAAGCCATCGAAAAGCGACCTTTCTGCCTGAACAAACGTAATGACGGTTAGAGACTTCCAACTGCCTGGAAACCACTAATTTTCCGATGCTCACCCCCCACCAAGACCTTTCCACCACCGAACACCCATCGATACCCCAGTTCAATGTATATAACTGGCTATAACCGGCGAAAGTGGCGATCCTATTGGCAGTCCCTCATCTTCATAGATTTCGAATCATATTAAACAATGTAAGTCCGAACTAGTAGAATTTAGTTCATTATCTTTATTTATGTCTACAAATTGAGAAAAAGTGTTTGCACAGAAGAGGCAGTGAATTCCCCGAAATATTCAGTACAATCCGTTCTAATCAACTCCAAATGAATAATTCGAAGTATTTTTGTCCACTAATACAATTTACTGGGTGGTTCACCAATATTTAGAATTCATTTTATTCTTGATGATAAAGTTATTGCTTCATTTTAAAATTGGCGAAATAAGACAGTTTCCATTCAAGTAGATCTCTAATTTACAAATGTACTCACCAAAATGATAGGCCCATAATTCACTACAAGATCCTCTCAAATCCTGGTATCCCCCATATATCAGCATAGACCCATTATGGACTAGGGCAGTATGACCCCTTCTTCCCTTAGGAGTAGCAACACCTGGGAACATTAAAGTAGATGTCACTAACTTTTCAGCTATTTATGCTCCATACGAATATTCAAGTTATACTTCAGAGATATATTTCAATAACATAAAATCATTCTGAGTAATCAACAAAAAAACAGTTATTGATTGTTGAATGACAATTATGGAATCATAACAATCGCAACTGAGTTGCATTATTCGTATTGTACTTTCAAAATAAATTGCATGAAGGAAATATGATAATGATCCCAATATCGATCCTTGAGGAACACTATTGGATATCTGATATTATAATAATAATTCATTCATTTGCTCACATACAAAACAAAGTAGAATGAGAAATACATTGCAAATAAATATCGTACAATCCACGGAAGCAACATATGTTATATGTGTGTGGTATAATAAATTAGGAATATATATAGACATACACATATATATACATATACATATACACACATACATATATGAATATATACAGATGAGACATATTGGAGATATTACTCTGAAAAAAAGATACTGGTTCGAGGGTTACACCAATATACTTTGGTTTTGTTAATAACAAATTGTGATTTCCCTCAAATATTCTAATAATATCAATATTGTTGCTTTTTCATCTTTTTTGTAATCTCTGAAATTAGTAAGAAAAAGGAATTGAATGTTCCATGAATGTCAAGTCAAGAATCAAAATCTTATATTGTTTCGAGTAAATGATCAAATTGAAAAATTATTGGTATGAAATTCCTGTAAATACTGGTAGTCATACTTTTACTGACCCACGTATCCAACCATCATTTGAAATTGAAACTTCTCATTCCCAGTACCTAAGGCATTTTCTCATTTAAGCACTCAAGTTTCAAAATATTGAAGATGTTAACAGTTTATTTATTTATATAGAAGGAATTCAAACGGGACTGGCCCAAAACAGTATTCACAGATATGTTATTTCTCGATATCATAATCTATATCTATGAATAGTTTTAAAAATTGTTACGAAGTTGAATGTATGCAGTGAATGAAAATGATATAAAAAATAAT